TGTCCCACTATATATGGTGCCCAATGTGGGGAACATATTTCCACATTAGATTGAGAAAGCTTAAAAAAAGGTTCCAAACACACAGAAATGGAGCCAAATGCAGCTTCCTAGTCCCACATTCTCTCATGTGGTCCATGGTACAGAGACACATCTCCTGACCACTGCTTGTGGGCTTGAGCAGCCAGTGCACCATGAACTGAGCTGTGAGGTTGCTTAAGGCTTTGCTCATACAGACAGAAAAGGTTAAAAATACACAATATAACAGGTTCAGATGGAATAAACCTCCAAACAGGTTACAGCATCCTTAATAATGTATTTAGGGTTATGAAAAAAGAAAGAGGGTATAGATAGTTGTAAAAAATAAATAGTTTAAAAACAATAAAGTAGATTCTTTAAAGAAAGAAACAAAGTAATAAAACCTAAGGCATGTAAAGATGGGAAGTGTTATAACACAGGGAGCTTGGACCTTATATGGTACTCTGGTAATTTTGAATTTTTTGAATGCTAATGAACAGAAAACAGCATTAGAGACATTGGATTGTGGAAGGGACTGCCAAATTAAACTAACCTATATACTTTAGGAATGCCTTAACTTTAAAATGGAAGTCAGAAAATGTATTACCTTGGGGAAAAGGTTATGTTTTTGTTTCCACAGGAAATGAAAGCCTGTGGGTTCATTTAAGGTTGACAGAAATCAGGTTTGATTGGGAGAGACCCCCTGAAAATACTGACTACAGGCTAAAGAAATAAACCTAGAAAAACTACAAGACAGCTGACACATATTTTACCTGCTCAAACATGAAATAAAAAGTCATCTTTGGTAGACTGCATATTCCATACTTGTGTTAAAGCATATATGTATGTTACCTTTGAAAGTTTGTGTGTTTTCAGAGCAAGGAGGCCAGACAACATGGGTGACACAGGTGATTAAGCCTCTCAGAATGCCTCTATTGCAGTTTCCTCATAGTTTTTCATTCAGAACAACTTCAATAGTCCAGCCTTACAGACTGTTCTAACCAGAACTGCAGGTAAGTCTTGTGTTTTCTGATTGCACAGAGACTGGACAACAAATGGTACAGCTAACTCTTCCAGGACTTGACCAATATCCTACTTTTCTAAGGGTCCCCCAAAGATGCCATCACCCCCAGACAACAGTTAACAGTCTAGAGATCACTACATCCACGTTTCCAAGAGGTGGGGTGGGTGGTTTTTGGTTGTTCAGTGGGTTATGGATGTTAGTCAACAGTTAGGGAGGTTGGATGTTACAAGTTGCTGTTGGTCATGATCAGGAAAAAAGCTGAACGAAGGAAATTAGATTCAGGGATCTCTTTCTGAAGGGAAAAGGGGGGATATATATTATAGAAATGATGGGATAAAAGGATAGATTTTCACTCTACTTTCGAATCACCACTAGTCTCAGATAATTTACTTTGCTGTAAGTTTTTGTATATTGATACAGATTTAAGGTTATTCTAGTTATACTGTATATGTTTATATTCTTGTTTAAGGTATTGTACCTATGCAGCTCATTTAAAAATGTAAAGTTTTAGTTCTTGAAAGATATTTAGGGTAATAAAAAAACAAAATACAGGTTAATAGTCATCTATAATAAGCTAACTTATAGTCATATTAGGAATGTTTTCAAGGTCATACAGAGATATATTTTTAGATGGATAGTCTTCAAACACTACAGAAGATCTACAGAAAATGGCATTTAAAATGTTTCAATAACATAAGGCTTTTCATGACAGCGAGTCATGTCTTCTCCTGGCAGCACCAGTCTACTTCAAAAGAAGGATGATAGGAATTAAAGAATTCCATATGGAAGTTGGTTTTCTTTGTGTGGCAAAAGTTAGCCACTGGGTGAGAAACTGCCATTGCCTTGACTGCTGACAATATGCTGTCCAAATTGGACACAAAAGAAAGACAAAGTAGGACAGTGCTTCAAAATTAATGCTTCACAGAAAAGTTTGTTAGACATTCTAGGCCTATAGGTTGAAGATGGGTGCTCCAGCATTACAGAATATACTTAGGTGACTGTCCAGGCAGCCGGATAGCTCTGTTGTTTCTATAGCTTTGGAAGTTGCTTACTCTGTACTCTCTGTTTACTCAAGTAATATTTTCTCCTTCTTGGGTCTCTGGTTGAGACTGAACACTAGACAGTTATAGTTTTAGTTTTCCTTGTTAACAAATTCAGAAAAGAAAGTTAAAAAAGACGTATGAAAGTATAAGGTTGACAGACATAAAATTTAAATTGTTTATTTAAAAAGTTTTGAGGTCTACAAAGATAGTTTTAAGATGGTAATACAAATTATGATAAAAATGGTTTAGGTATAAAACTTTAAATTCATCAAGCTAAGACAGATAACCTAGTATTTTCTCCAAATATTCCAAGTACAAATGGACTGGACATTTTGAATGTAATTCTTACCTGATAATTTATCTTATGTTATATAATTTTACTGTGTGAAGAGTTAAAATCTTTCTTATTTATGTATCTACTTATTTTTTATTTTTGTTTTTTTTTTGAGACAGGGTTTCTCTGTGTAGCTTTGTAGACCAGACTGACCTCGAATTCACAGAGATCCCCTTGCGTCTGTTTCCTGAGTGCTGAGATTAAAGGCATGCACCACCACCACCCAGCTTCTTTTTTGTTTATATGAATAGGGGGAAATATTGTGGAATATTCCTTTAGACTGCGTGAAGATATGTCACCATGATTGGTTTAATAAAGAGATGAACAGCCAATAGCTAGGCAGGAAGTATAGGTAGGACTTTTGGGGACAGAGAGCTTTGGGAAGAAGAAAGGAGGAGTCACCATCCAGATGCAGAGAGAAAAGACATGCAGGAGGAGAGGTAAAATCCATGAGTTATGTGGCAATATGTAGATGAATAGAAATGGGTTAAGTTGTAAGAGCTAGTGGGAAATGTGTAAGCTACAGGCTGAGCTTTCATAATTAATAATTATTCTCTGTGTTGTTCTTTTGTGAGCTGGCAGCTCAAAGAAAAATCCATTTACACATTTCCTTATGTACTTATACAAGTAATGGACTAAAATAGATTCATTTATATTTTCTCGTCACCTAAGAAGAACCTGGCCCAGAATAGGTATGTGGGCAACATTTGTTGAATATGAATAAACATAAGCTATGTTTTGTTCACTGCAGTAGCAGAGCAGTCGGCTGTCAGCCTGACTTTGGTTACCACGTGAAGTTTCCAGTCTGTTGTTTGTTTGGTTCTGCTTATGAAAATAGCTCCTTTTGTTCCCTTACGGTCTAAAAGGAGATGTAAAATATATACATATAAAATGTATGCTAATTGTAAAAACAATCTGCTAATACATTAAAGTATGAAACAGAGAACAGAATCTAGTTGGGACATCCTACCCAAGGATGTTCAAATTTTGTGCACATATTGTTTTACTAACACTTATAATTTAGTTTCTTCCTAATCAAAAACATCATGTACGATGTCACATATATAGCTGTAATGTACATGATACTGGTGAATTTTCATGCACTGTTTGAACACACAGAGAAGTTGGCCCTTGATGTGGAATTTTGCCTGCCCGATTGCAGAGACAAGTATGTTTATTTCAAAGTGTCCTCCAAGGCCACTTGTCTGAGGATGGGCTACTCCCTCCTCCCAAACTCTGTGCTATGGAGGAGAGTATTAAACAGCCCAAGAGTAAAAATATTGTGCCCTCGAGGAGCAGCTAGAAGGCAAAGTCGTTCCACCAGATGGTACTATTGTCTACCCTACAGTATAAAAGTGTCTGCAGGGGGAAAGCAAAGCAGGAAGCAGGGAAAACTCAGACATGGAGAGAAAGCTTGATTGGGAACTCCAGCAGACTGCCTCAATTTCCCTAGCCAGTTTCTGCTGGATGCCCAGAGAGGCTGATTTTGATCATATTACCTCCGTTTTTCACTTGGAAGGGTCCTGTTCTGCCTGGGACTCTCTATCTGGAACTCCAGCTGGCTGCCTTAAAGGGGCATCCATAGTGAATTTCTGCTGTATGTTTTGAGTACCTGCTCTGATGATGTTTTGCTATCATCTGTCTGTCTATCTATCTATCTATCTATCTATCTATCTATCTATCTATCTATCTCTATCATCCATCCGTCTGTTTGTTCATCATCTATCTCTTGCTATTTATTCTTTATATTGGCTTTCTGTATGCTGAAGAACTCTACTCATCTAAAACCAAAAATAAAACTAGCATAGATCATTCTGTGACCCACACAAGATGGCAATATTCTCTCCCAATATGAATTATTGTAGCTATATTTTCGTATTAGAAATTGAAATAAATGTGGATTTATAGTAGTGATTTCAAGCTGTTGAAACACATTCCATTTACAAATGAATAGCCAGATTGTTTCTTTTGTCTCCCTAATGTAAGTCATTCTGTGAAGATTTGGTCTCTTTGTTGTGGTTGTCTCATTTTCCTTAGCCTTTTTTCTAATAATTTTCACTTGCTAAAGATGGTACATGTATGGAACCACACACTCTGTCATGCATGTAGGCAGCTGTGTAACAGAGACTATAGATACGGGTAATGAATTTTCTCTTTTGGAACATATCTATCTGCCTTTCTGTTGAGCTCTAGACTCAACCACCAAGCTACATTGGCTGTGTCAAATTCAAGGTATCCAAAGCACAGCTCTTATTGTCTCTGCTGGAACTAATTGATCTTTCTCATCTCAGCCACTAGTGTCCTTGTTCATTCAGCTTCTGAAGTCAGGAGGGGTCCCCACTTTCTCCTTTGTTACCACTTTCTGCACTGACTTCGATTCCATCAGAGTTTGCTGATTTTAATTCTAAGATGCCTGTCCAGCCTGTCCTTTCTTCCAATCTCCTCTGTCCATTTTGACAGTTGTCTCACCCCTTCCCTGTCCTTATTTCTCACATCAGCAAGATGCTATACAAAAAATGGGCTGACAATGTGATTACAAGTTTCTATTGCTGCTACATAGCTATATATGTGAACAGATGTGATGGTTAGTTTTTAAAAATTTTTATATTAAGTGTATGCTTGCTTTGCCTTCTTATATGTCTATGTACCACTTGAATGTCTGGTGTCCCAAGAGGCCAGAAGATGATATCAGATCTCGGGGAATTGGAGCTACAGATGGTTGTGAGCCACCACGTGGATGCTAGGGACAACATTCAAGTTCTCTGGAAAACTGTTTTGAGCTCTAACTGCTGAGCCAAATCTCCAGTCCCATGATGGTTGGTTTTAAATTTCAACTTGATGCCATCTAAAGTTCTGGTAAGAGTCTTCATGAGGAATTGTCTGGATTGGGTTGAGCTCTGTGTAGTTCCATGAGGGATTTTTTCTTGTATTCAATGAGGTGGGAAGACCCAGTCTGAATGTGGGCAGCACAATTTCTTGGTCTTGGCCCTGGATTGAATGAGAAGAGAGTGAGCTGATTGCTGGCATGCATCCACTGCTCTTCCTAATTATGAATGTAACATGACCAGCCCCCTCAAGACCCTGCTGCTGTAGCTTTCTGCTATGATGGACTGTAACTCGGAAATGTGAGCTGAAATAAACACTTTCTTCCCAAGGTTGCTTTTATCAGAACAACAGGCTTATTGGCTCTTGCATGTATAAAAAGTGAAAAATGAACACATTCTAAATTTTATGAGCAACAAGCTAGATCTTTAACAAAGTCATGTTTTTATCAATGACCCTCTTAAGTAAGGGATTATGCCACAACCTACTTTAAAAAGTAGGGTCTGGAGCAACAGCTCAAAGGTTAAGAATACTGCTGTTCTTTCAGACCAGAGTTCAGTACCTATGACTCATGTTGGACAGCTCACAACAGAGGTGTACACATGTACACGCAAATGCTAGAGTGTGTGCACACACACAGATGTAAATAAAAATAGAATAGATTTTTTTTCAAGACAGGGTTTCCCTGTGTAGCTTTGGAGGTTGTCCTGGAACTGTTCTTGTAGGCCAGGCTGGTCTTGACCTCATAAAGACCCGACTGCCTTGGCCTCCCAAGTGCTGTGATTAAAGGTGTGCTCTACCACCACCCTGCTAGAATAGATCTTAAAGCAACAACAACAACAACAATAAAAAACCACAACTAACAAACAAAAAAATCAGTGACTTTCTTTTATACTTTGACTCGGGTTTGGTGAAAAGCCCAGAATCCTATGGTACTTGAATCTCAGCATCACTCATTCCTCTCTCCTCCCTCTCTGATTTAGCCTCACTGCCTTCCCACTCCTAAATCATCCCAAATTTCCCCCCATCCAACTAGCAGATTCTGGTGTAGGCCAAGGAGTCTTGTAGACTAGTTCAGACTGTTCTTTCTCTCTTGATGTGACATCATTGACTTCTCTAACTTTCTAAGTGTTTATTTTCTTTTAGGATCATACACATATTTTAAACAAAACCTTTTTTTCCTGACTCTTGTTTATACACCCAAGACTCCTGGAACTACCTCTTTGCCTTAAAAAATTTGTGTGTGTGTGTGTGTGTGTGTGTGTGTGTGTGTGTGTGTGTGTGTGCCAGGATAGGTATGTGGAGGTCAGAGGACAACATTTGGAAATTGGGAGTTGGTTCTTTCCTCCCATCATGGAATCTGGGGATCAAAGTCAAATTGTCAAGCCTGCAAGGCAGTTGCTTTTACCCTCTGAGTCATCTTCCAGTCCTGAACTACCTCTTTCTTGCATCTTTTCTTTTGGAAGTGAGAATTATTTTTGCCTTGAAGAACCCTACAGTAACAGAAGATGCTCACCTTATTTCAAATATGGTGTGTGGTATGGACAGTCTTCATTGCATTCACATGCAAAGGGTGTTCTTGCAGTAAGAGACATTTTGTACCAATTTTAAAGCCATAACAGGGCTTTTTACTGCAAATGGAATGCAGCATAATGGTCTTTTGTGATAAAAATCTTCCTTGGAATGACTTTTTAAACATGCAATTTGTTTTGCTTCAAGGTTATGACTAGAATTACACAACTATGGAACTTTTCTGGAAGTTGAAAGCTGCTGTCTGGAGCTCAGCTCCTCAGTCTCCTGGATACCTTGTGTATGTACCATGAAGCATGACCACCAAGACTCTATGTTTATTTATATGTCCTGGACAGTGTTAGATTTGTTCCTAGAATTTGGGTTTTGAACAATTAGTCTACTGAAATTTATGCCATAGAAAAAATTTTTAAACAACTGCACCATATTTAGGACAGGATGTTTTTGACACAGAAGATGGCGTTAAACTGAGGAGGGTCCACAGTACCTGCTGATTCAGCTCCTTGAACAGAACAGAAGCTTAATAATTTCTTGGAGGTGTGGAATGAATGAGCAGACAGCCAATGGTTGGAATTCTATTGCAACCCTAGAAAAGGAAGGTTTAAATGTGCTCAGGATTATTTAATTGAGTGCATCAGAATTAGTAAACCTTTACTTTTATTGTCTTTCTTTAAAAGAGCAGAGATCATCGCTCTTGCCATTCACCAAGTCCCTATTGTAATGGATGGCTCTTGCCATTCACTGTGTCCCTACTGATGGATGGCTCTTGTGTGTGCAACTCTTTCTTTCTTTTAGGGAACTTGCCTGTGTATAAAGGCAGGGAGACTGTCATAAATGGTCTTGCCTAGCAGTCAAAGATAGAGTGTGTGATACATGTCCAGAGCAGGCCAGTTACAACACTAGGTCTTCAGGGCAGCCATTCTTTGTTTGTATTAATGTATTTTTAAAAAGATGAAATTAAAATGTAATCAAGTCATTTCCCATTTCCCTCTTCTCTCTTCCTATGTACCCCACCTACTTGCCTCCTTGCTCTCTGTCAACTTCATGGCTTCTTTTTCTTTGTTGTTACACACACACACACACACACACACACTCCTAAATATAATTTTATCAGTCCATATATATATATATATGAATTCAGGGATGACCACTTAAGTTGGATAACCATTTGGGGGCCTCTTTGGGAAACAATATTTCTCGCACTCTCAACATTCTTTTGTTGCCTCTAGATTTTCCCTAGGGTTGGGAACTCATGAGATTCCCTGCTTCTGTATTAGCATGTTTATAGGCATCTTCCTTGTCCAGGAATTGTTTTGGCATGTGGTTAACTTCACGGGTGTAGCTTCCATGGCGATTTGAACACACATAATCTCACAGCAGACTTCCTGTTTTTCTTACATTGTTTCTGCTCCCTCTTCCAAGATTTTCCCTGAGCTTTAGGTACAGGAGTTGTGTTCCAGATGTATCAGTTGGGGTGGGCACCACATGATGACTTTGTTTTGGTCATTTGTGTTTTTCTGTGATGGCTGTGTTAGGGCAACCAGTCTCGAGGTAAGCATTGACCAGAGCTCTGATCAAAGTCAAGGTCTTCCTGTGGACTGACATTAAGATGTACTTTAACACAGGGGTCTCCTGACGTGGCGCTCTTGGGTGGTGGTGGTAACTTTAAGGGTTATGATCTGTGGGGAGGTCTTCCAGTCATTCATGGTGAGGAGAACAGAGGGATCTTAGCTCTCTAGCCTGTTCTTTTTCCTTTCCTCAAGATGACGATTTGCTCTATCACCAGCTCTCAGTCACAGGTCCAAAGTCAATGGGGCTAATTCATCCTGGATTCAAACACGCACAATCTTTCCTTTAAAAAAAATTATCGTTGATACTTTTTACAGTTAAGACAGCTAAGATAACAATAGAGAAGTTTCGTTTTCATAGTGATAGCTAATTTCAGACGTGATGAATTGACATTGTTGGCTAGATAAGAATCTGATGATTGCTTCTCAAGAGAACGTATATATCTATATATTCACCCATATATATATTTAAATTTATTCTAAATTCTGATTAAAATATACATAGCACATAAATTTCAAGTAATATATAAAGTATTGAGCACTTCCTCGCATTTTATCTATTACTGTGATTCTCATAGGGTACTTTCATTGACATTTTTGAACTTCAAGGTCACTGGAAATATCTGGTGACTGTTGTAGAATATTAGTTGAAGATGTGTTACATTCATTTATGCTGTGGAATATTTATTAAATGATGCACAATGTTTTGTTTTCTTTTATGTTGTATTTGTTTAACTCTTTGAAGTTGTGTTACTTTGCCTGTCAAAAACACCTGATTGGTTCAATAAAGAGTTGAACAGATAATACCTAGGCAGGAGAAAGGATAGGTGGGGCTGGCAGGCAGAGAGAATAAATAGGAGGAGAAATCTGGGAAGAAAAGACCAGGAGTAAGAAAAAGGAGAAGGAAAAGAGGACATCAGGTGCTTGCCACTCAGCTACACATCAGGTTACGGAATAAGAAGTAAAGAAAGGTATATAGAATAGAGAAAGATAAAATCCCAGAGGCAAAAGGAAGACAGGATAATTTAAGTTAAGAAAAGTTTGCTAAAGACTTCGAGTCTTTAAAGAAAGAAATTAAAGAAGATACCAGAAAATGGAAAGATCTCCTATGCTCTTGGATAGGTAGGATCAACATAGTAAAAATGGCAATCTTGCCAAAAGCAATCTACAGATTCAATGAGATCCCCATCAAAATACCAGCACAATTCTTCACAGACCTTAAAAGAACAATAATCAACTTTATATGTAAAAACAAAAGACCCAGGATAGCCAAAACAACTCTGTACAAAAAACAAACGTCTGGAGGCATCACCATCCCAGACTGAAAACAGCTTGGTATTGACACAAAATAGACAGGTAGACCAATGAAATCGAATTGAACCCACATATCTATGAGCACCTGATTTTTTGACAAAGAAGCTAAAATTATACAATGGAAAAAAGAAGCATCTTCAACAAATGGTGCTGGCATAACTGGATGCTGGCATGTAGAAGACTGCAGATAGATCTATCACCATGCACAAAACTTAAGTTCAAATGGACAAAGATCTCAACATAAATCCAGCCACACTGAACCTCTTAGAAGAAGTAGAATGTACCCTTGAACAAATTGGTACAGGAGACCACTTCCTGAACATAACACCAGTAACAGAGACACTGAGATTGACAATTAGAAAGTGGGACCTCCTGAAACTGAGAAGCTTCTGTAAGGCAAAGGACACAGTCAACAAGACAAAATGGCAGCCCACAGAATGGGAAAAGATATTCACCAACCCCACATCTGACAGAGGGCTGATCTCCAAAATTTACAAAGTACTCAAGAAGCTAGTCTCCAAAACACCAAATAATCCAATTAAAATGTGGGGTACAGAATTAAATAGAGAATTCTCAATAGAGGAGTCTAAAATGGTCAATAAACACTTAAGAAAGTGCTCAACTTCCTTGGCCACCAGGGAAATACAAATCAAAACAACTCTGAGATACCATCTTACTCCTGTCAGAATGGCTAAAATCAAAAACACCAATGACAGCTTATGCTGGAGAAGATGTGGAGAAAGGGGAACACTCCTCCACTTCTGGTGGGAGTGCCAACTTGTACAGCCACTTTGGAAATCAGTATGGACATTCCTCAAGAAAATGGGAATCAGTCTACCACAAGATCCAGCAATTCTACTCTTAGGCATACACCCAAAAGATGCATATTCATACAACAAGGACATCTGTTCCACTATATTCATAGCAGCATTATTTGTAATAGTCAAAACCTGGAAGCAACCTGGATGCCCCTCAACTGAAGCATGGATAGAGAAAATATGGTACATTTACAAAATGGACTACTATTCAGCAGAAAAACAATGGAATCTTGAAATTTGCAGGCAAATGACTTGTAGAGGGTTTTGGATTGTCACCAGAAGTCAACAAGAATCTTAGATGTGTGTAAGCAATGGGGTGATATATGCAGATCTGTGCTTGCTCCATGGATACACGAAGGGGACAGGATTATGATGATAGCTATGGCGCAGGGTGAAGAATGAGTGCAGTGGATCTCGGAGCTGTAGTAGAGGATGGTGGGAAGCAGGAAGAACATGTAGAAGGCTGTTGCAGGAGTTCAAATGAAAGATAATGGGTCCTGTCTGAGCAGTGCCAATGGAGGGGGTGAGAGGTGGGTATTATCCAGAGAGCTTTAGGAGGGTGGTGAAAGCACTGGAGTAACTGAGTTGGATTACAGGTTGGGTTGTGGTAGCATTCCCCATTCCTGGGATGGGAATGCTAGCAAGAACATTTGGACAGACTGTGGAATGATGCATTTATTTTGGGTGTGTTGAATTGGGGATCTCCGTAGAATTGTCATATGGAGAAAGCCAGCTAGTGCCTAGGTGTCATGGGAGATCTACACTCACTGTAGGCAGGGGGTCTGTGCTTGAGGGTTTAGAAAGCTGTGAATTTCTGAATGCTTGAGTCTCTCTTCTCAGGGTGAGGAAGAGCAATCACTGTTATGCAGCACACTGACATGTATCCAGCAAACCCTGCCAAGAGTCACAGCAAGGGGTGAAGAGGGTGCACCAATCACCAATAGACAGTTCAGATCTGGTTTTTCCGGCAAATGAGTTTGTGGAAAATTTATGAGAAACATTTAGGGCTATCAAACAGATTTTTCTTCTATTTTGGAAGCCTGGGTGTGAGATTGTCCTCCTGTGCTATTCTAATATACACAATGTTGGTTAGTTGTGTGCTTTTTGCACTCATTGAAAGAGGACCCTGGGGCCATGTTGAACCTCCTTGTCTTAGACTCAAGCATGCTTATCTTAAGTGTCCTCCTAGACTCTTTGTTCTGGGCATGTTGGCCCCTTGACCCTATAATAGTCAGGAGGAGAAAAGTAAACAATTAGGAATATTAGAAACATTGTTCCCTTGAGAATAGCTAGACGTTAAATATTTCCAACACAGGCTACAGTTGTTTAGCCTATGGTATAAGAATGCCTGTAGTGGGAATTAGAAGGTAAAAATTCATCCATGGAGAAGACCTTTTGCCTCCAAACCTTGCTACTCATTAATTTACTTTCATTTTCTCTGTCAATCATGGTACTCTAGTAATTTCTGCTAGTTTGGTGATGTTATCCATCTATTTGTTATTTATTCTATATGATTCTCCAGACAATTATCTTATGTAAATATTATGTTAACCATATGAGGCAGACATTATTAATATTCCCAGTTCACAGGCAAGGGGATGCTGATGCAGGTAGGCTCAAAATGCTCCAGTCATACAATATTCAAACGCAGTCAGATAAATTAGGAGAATACTTCCAGTGGGAAGGAGGGGTAACAGGGTCAATGCCACAGGCAAGGAGAGTAAATTAAAAATGGAAACATCCTCACAGGGCTTGAAAAATTAAAACAAAAACAGTTAACTGACCTTGGAGTGGAGACATTTCAGAGACTGGTGCAGTAGAGGCCAGTGTATGGATGGGTTAAGGAATGATAAGGAGGCAGAACATGGAGCACCTTTCCTTTCATTGCCTACTCTTCTGAGACTGGCCAACAAGGTATGGGAGAAAGAGAAAGCTAGAGACACATTGGGACAAGAAAAAGAAACAGTAAATGTTGGAGAGTGCTGAGCAGATAGTCAGTAAAGTGGTGTCCTTCCAGAGTGCCAAAGAATACCACCCAGGAGTGTGTTAGAGGGCTGGGGACGAAAGGCGTTTCCTAGTTACACAGGGAGAGGAGAACAAAGGGGAGTGTCTAAGAATTGGCAGTGTGACACGTTCTCTGTGAGTCATATTCCGAGACAGGGAGGTGAGAGTGACAACTTCAGTGTGAAGAGCTTGGGAGACTTCGGTGTGAAGAGTGAGGAGAAGGGCTGTGGAGAACAGGAGACAGTGCGAGCAAGGGACATGCAGGACGATGGGGCTGAATTGAAAGGGTTTAGTTTGGAGGCCTTGAGCCTGCAGTGCTTGAGTCTGGGAGGACTTGGGCTTCTCTCTTAAAGTGTTCAGCAGCTGTGAGGATGGGGAGACACACAGCAAGTCTTTGTTCAGTAGGTGTAAACAAAGACAATTCTTAGGAGCTGAAGATGATCTTGACACATTGTTTAAATCTCAGGGGTCTTCATAGATTGAAGCATTGCTGTAGATCTGGGTTATCAAATCTGATAGACATTGCAATCACCTAGGAAAAGTTATAAAGGAATTTATGTTATGTCTCATCATCATTTATGACTTACCTGGTCTGTGTCATGGCCTGAATTTTGGGATGTTTGTATGAACACCTTGGGTGATCCTTAAATGTAGACATGGTTGAAAATTATTGTTCCCATAATTTTTCTTTTTTATTCCTAAAGCAAATTCGGAATGTATGCCAGTAGAAGACAGTCACAAACTTTAGGATCCTAGTGGCTTATTTATTTCCTGCTTATATAATGCTGCAGATATAGGCTCTACTCCCTGGCAGATGTTGTTGTATTTATTGGATTCCCCAGTCACAGAGACACGAGAAGAGGAGCACGGGAAATGGAGTCTTGGCTCTTATTTGCTTTTACTGGAAGTAATACTCCTCACCTGTATTATTTCAGTGATCAACTTTATTTGCATGAAAACACCAGTGTCAGGGAGAAAGAGAAGGCAATACATTGTCTACGAACCCCAAAGATGACCACCATCTAGAGCTCCTAATGAAATGAGGATAGAAGGCTTATGCAATTACTCTCACACACATACACAGTGCTTCTTACCTGTTTATCTACACTAGGTTAATTGAGTCAGGACAACTCCCCAAGATGATGGCAACACATTTCCATGGGTTGTGGTCCTAGACCGAGTAAAAAGGAGACAGCAAGCTGAACACATGCCCTCTCCCTCTTGACTGTTGTGTAAACACAATGTGACCAGCTACCTCAAGGTTCCGATGCCCTGACTTTCCCCATGGTGGACTATATCCTCAAACTGTGAGCCAAAATAAGCTTCTTCATGAAGTTGCCATTGTCAGGGCATTTTGTCACAATGATGAGGAAAAGAAGTTATACACATGCCATATGTTTTAATAGCTATCAAATAAGAATGCAATTTATCTTCACAAAATCCTACTAAATAGATCATTTTATGTTCATTTTTTTCAGAAGGAGAAATCATTCTAGTTCTTAATAGCAGGAAAAAGAAGCCTGATTTATGTTCATTTTTTTCAGAAGGAGAAATCATTCTAGTTCTTAATAGCAGGAAAAAGAAGTCTGATTTCCAAGCCATCTGGGTGTGGGGTCCAAGCAATGAGCCTTTGCACTATATTGCTTGTCTAGTTTACGCTCCACTAACAGGTCCTGTGCTTGTGTAGTTGGGTTGGTGGGGAGGGAGAGGTTTGAGGTCTAAATGTAAGTGTGGGGCATGGTGCATCAAGAGAATGAAGCAATGCTTGTATCTCTCACTGCTAGTGGTCCTGAAGGAACATGCAGTGAGACTTGGGGTGGGAGGAAATCAAAAGCATGGATGCTGTTGCCAAGGAGGCCAACCCTAGAGGACAGCATGGAGAGGAACTTATGACCCCTTCCTCTTTTCTTTCCTATCCTTCCTCCCAAGCCTCTCAGCACCTGCAGATTGCATCGTGGATTTGTATTGGGATAGCTCAGAAGACAGCAGAAATGAAGAGAAGAATCATTTCTGTAGGGAGTGGTATTTGGGCCATTTGTACACAAGGGCTCAAACATTGTCATTTTTAGAAAACTGAAACATAATTACAGATACTGACACATGTGCTACATTAAGAAAACCCTTCAGAGGAGGAATCCTTCATAAAAGAATTCTTTAGGGAACCGGGAGAGATTACGAATCATCAGTACTCAATAAATTAATTTCTAAGGCTTTCCTTTTACGTTGCTTCCTATTAAACTGAAACACACCTGCAGTTTGCCCAGGTCATTCTGCTGATCCTGGAGGCAACAGACCCTGTTGGAGATCAGAACTCTTGGTCCTCACAGACAACACCTTTCTAATTACCATACCTCGAGACATATGAGAGAAAGCACAAGAAGTTCTGCTTTGAAATGAAATTTTGGTCATCAGATAAACAAATAAAACGAAGCCCTTTGTGACATTGAAGCTTTGACATTCCAGACTCTCTCACCTGTTCAATCCTGTGGTTTGGTCACAACATATGGACACTGTCTGCAAAACCCTTTGAAAATGCTGTATTGGCACCTTGCTGCAATCTGCCAGCACATTCCTTAGGGCCAGGCAGTCCATATGCTGCTGCTGTTGCTGCTTACTTTTTTCCACTGTGATTTGATGGGGAGCTGCTGGAGTTGTTGCTAGGGGTTCTGCTTTCCCCTAGCTGTGAGTGATGGTAATAAAGATAGCTGGATGTTGTTGACCATTGCCACAGGAATCCAAGATCAGGTTATTACTTACAAGGAGCCCTGGCGATGGGTCAGGAAGCCATAGTACAGTTCTTATGCCAAGTGCTCTGAAGTACTATGTCCTCTTGAATGAGACACTTCATCCTTCTAGGTATCAGCTTTTGCCTGAATGAGAATTTAAACTGGAAGATTAAGAAAAGTGTGTAACTGAGTGCTTTGACATTTTGTAATGCCCAGCTGTTTTTGTTCCATACAGTCATTAAGATAAAAGTTATAATGCTATACAGAAATTAAGGATAAAGAAGAAAAGAGCATGCCATTTTAATTAAATCTGTGCGTGGAAGTAAATGGGGACATTCTACAGCGATTGCGTGACTGTGTCTTAATGGAGTCCAAAAGAATTTCCCCTTTAGGAAGTGTGAGCTAATATATCCACAGAGAAATGATTAGGAACAGAGATATTTATATTAGATGGGAAACACTGGGAAGCACAGACTTTAAATCAATACTCAGAGGCGAGATGTGTGCAGCTGAGGATGCACATGAGAGCATATAAACTGGAAATATTCCCTGATATTTCCTGTCAGTGTTGATGATAGAGTTACCATATCATGCTAGAAGTCAAGGACAGAAACCCATTCAATAGATATGCACTTATTTTCAAACATTAAGTCTGTATATTCACCACCCCAGCCAATGGCTGAGTAATCTGGGATCTTTTGAGCACAGATCACCTAAGAAAGGGGGCCAGGAAGGAGAGTGAAGTGTATGTTTAAGACTGAGGTGGTAGGGCTGGATCTGGGTGTCAAGTCCTCCTTATTTCTGTTGCCCAAACCCATGCATACCCTGTGAGCTGCAAGGAGCGAGCTGTATGTCCTAGAGTACATTACTGACTCCAGCTTGTGGTAGGCTAAGCATATAGATACAATCTGTGCTGGTGTCCTTTGATATTTAATTAAGGGCACCCCAGTGTATTGAAGGGACATTCTGTCCTTAGGGGGATAAACTTGTCTCCGTAGCAGGGCACTGCTTCAGATGGAAGGCTGGAATAAAAAGTATTATTCCACAATATCTCAATTTTGTCCCCCAGAAGGAATCATTGCAGAACTTTTTTGCTTCCGGTCCTCCTTTTGGGTTTTGCTCAGCTGCCCAAGTTCTGGGTGGACAGTGGAAATTTTAGAGGAGAGAGAAATTATCCTAGGGTTAAATCTGGATCCTAGTTTTACATTAAACTCTCTGCTGTAGACGGACACATAAAGTAGAGGGCAAAGGGAGAGAGGGAGAGGAATCAGGGAGAGAGATAGAGGGAAGGAGGAGGGATGGAGGGAGGGAGGGAGGGAGGGAGGGAGGAGAGAGAGAGAGAGAGAGAGAGAGAGAGAGAGAGAGAGAGAGAGAGAGAGCGAGCGAGAGAGAGCTTCAAAGGTCAGTGAGTGCAAACAGGGATGGGTATTTCAATCACAGATTCCTAGGTGGTGAGTTGATGCTACCCTACCCCCACTCTCAGCCTGCCTTCTGTTTTAGGAATCTTGACTGGAGATTATTGCTACAAAAATCACCTTGTCCCTGGCATAGCTTGATCCCAGAAAAAGATGATACTCCCACCTAACTAACCTTTATCCTTTGCGCCTGCTAGGGAGCCCTTTCTCTTCCCAGCCGGTTGTAGTCTTCAGAGGCCCAGGTGGAGCTTCTTGAAGGGAAGTTTTGGCTCTGCCCTTCTTAGTTTGTGGCTTGTGTATCATATTTAGCCAAAGGGCTTGCTGCCAAAAGGCAGTTAAACTCCGTCCTCAGCGTTCTGAGCACACTCATTTAGGGATAAGGCTCCCAAATTTGCATGTCAAGAAGTTCTTATTGCATGTTGATGCTGCAGTCTGGAGGTTAAAACAATGCTTTTGATACAAGAATGCACTGCTGCAACTTGGGGCTCTCTTTCTTTCCAAGTCTTCCCGCCCCATTCTTAGTTGTGCAATTTTCCCCAGTGTGGCCGTCCCTTGCTTTTGAACTGCTTCTGACAGTGCTATTCCAGTCCGGGCCCTGAACATATAGGAGGGTAGCCTTTCCCCAGCCTTTCGCAGCTTCCTACTCAGGGCTTGTACATACCACTTTTCCATGCAAGCGCTGCCGATTGGATTGCTATAGCTCTTGTCTGAATCATTCTCTCTTTCCTAGGACTCCTAGCATCAAGCGAACTTTTTTCTGCAAGTTTGGGTAGGGGGATCCAGCTCCCTGTTCTCCCCCTGCATACAGCAGCCCTGGGGAAGCTCCCCAGACACCTTGTGGGCGTCCTCGCGCGCCAAATCCAGCCCGGGGTGAAGGGCCACTCGGGATGCCAGCTCTGCGCTCATACTCCATCTGGCTCCTGTTCCAGATAGTGGGGTTTCACAGGGTGTCCAAGGCTCCTGTGTTGAGGCTTCAGGAGCCAGTACCCGGAGGGGGGCGGTAGCAGCGTCAGGTGGCTGCTCTGCGTCCCTGAGCGCCACCCAGTCACTTCCTATTCAGCATACAACCTGGAGCTGGAGCCCTCCTGCACCTTGGCCCCAGGACCCGCGACCGCCGGAGCTACTGGGACTTGGGACAGCAGCGGGAGAAGCTGAGATGTGACCCCTCCCCCCCGATTGCCACTGTCCTCTCTGATGCTTGTTTCTGCAAACAACAGCCGCACCAGTCAGCGAGCACTTGTCTTGATCTTCGTGGAGAAAGGAGCAGCCACTGGGCGCTCTCAAAGCCAGGCAGAAGTTGGGTTGCCCTGGGCAGCTGTGAAACAACTGCGTGAGAAGGTTGGGCTTGGAGACCGAGGGAGCAGAGATAAGGAAGGGCGTGGGGAGAGGGAAGTCGAGTTGCTCCTTGCTCTCTCCGAGATCCCGGAGTCGGGGTAGAGGGAGAAATGCTGAGCCCGCGTCCGGGCTCCTGCCTTCGCGGCAGCATCTTCAGCAGCAGCCTCAGCATCAGCACCGGCGGGACAGCGACAGCGGGGGCGGCGCAGGCGCACTGTGCCCGGAGGAGCCTGCAGTTCCCCAGCCCCGTGTGCGGCACCGCCACAGTCTGGGCAGCGGCGGCCGGGGGGAGCGCTACTACCATGAACTGCCTGGTCCTCCTCCCCAGAGCTGCTCATCCGGGTCGGGCTGGAGACACAGTCAGGGGACCCCGCCGCCGCCGCCGCGCCCCCTTTTCTTTCGTCTCCGTCTCCACCACCTTTTCCTCTTCTTCTTCCACCTTTTCTTCCTGCTTCCCCCCCTCCCCCGCCGCGGATCCTGGCCGCTGCTCTCCAAACCCAGGATGCCGGGGGGCAAGAGAGGGCTGGTGGCTCCGCAGAACACATTTTTGGAGAACATCGTCAGGCGCTCCAGTGGTAAGGAGAGTTGCAGTTGAGAACATTCCCCACCTCCATCCCGACCACGGCGCCCCCATCCCGCCCATCCCATCCTTCTACTAAGGGGGGAGGGGGGTGTAGGTAGTGGTATTTGCTGGCTTAGGGTGGGTGGGGGCTAGGAAGGAGGTGGTGGAGGAACGTAAATTTGCATCGGCTTCCTATGAGATGCACCCCTCCCACCTGTCCAGACCTCAGAGTGGGAGGTAGGGAAGGGGGGGTGGATAAAGCGGGGGCTCATCAGAATAGGTCTGAGTTGTACTTTGCTGATGAATCTTTCCTTGTCCCATCGCTTCCCATACAAGCTTCAAGTGCTGACCAAAATTCTTAGAGCTAGTTTTTGGAGGAAGCTTTCCTTTCAAGTTGGGAATGCCTGGAAAAGTGGCTACTTCATTAAATTTAAGTCTCTGGGCTAGCTTTTGGATCCACTGTGCACACGTGAAAGTACCCTGTGTTAGGGCGAGCAGTCGGAGTTGAACCATAAAAAAGTCAGTGCTTGGAACCAGGGAAGGCAGTTATTAGTAGGATCAAATTTGTGTTTAAAGTTTCACGTTTTTATTTTCTTCATCGTGTATTGATTTCTAGGTTACATTTCACCTATTTCCCTTGAGCAGAAGGGAGGAAGGCAAAGCCTTAGTTTCTGTGCTTTTACTGCACCTGGGAAAGAGATCTGAACAATGTCATTCTATCTTGTTCCTGCCTCCCGAGTGTCTTTAAAATACCACCAATTTATGCTTGGTCTCCTATCTTCTGGATTGGAATGGCTATTTCACGTTTAAGATCATAAGATTTTTATCTTCTGGGATCATACATCTTCTAGTTGTGTTTAAAAAACTCTTTTTATATAATTTTAAACTCCAAAAGCCAACTGTGGACAATCATGTAAGGGTTTCTCTTCAGAATCCCTTCATGGAGAACTACGAAAAGGATAATTCTGCTCTTGGAGTTGACTAGGAAAGCAGTGGGACTCTTTTGTGCTGCTCCGTGGTTCCTTGTTCTGGCAATCATTCTTGGAAATTCTGTGTGTTGGGGGGGGTGTTACATAGCTGACACAGTGTGGATCTTTTGTGTGAATGTGTGGTTAAGATGTTTAGCTGTGGGTGAGAGGGATCCAGGCAAATGATAACCAGACACAGAAATGCTGGCTCTGAGGTGTTAGCTTAGATGACACCACTGTTTAGATCGGCGTCTCTTTGAAAACCAGGTTTACAAACTTGTCCTTGGAATTTGAGTAACCTAGGGAGTTTCCTTTAAATGCCCATCTTGGAGTTTGGTTTGGAGCTTTGTGACTCTTTCTTCCACTTTAGGTCAAAGTGTGATTCTATACAAGGCTAGGGCAGCAGTAGCATGTTGGGATTACAAAAAACTAGCTTATAGAGCTGCATAGTCACTTTAATCTTTAATCCCTGTAATATTTTTAGCTATCCCAGTGTGAGGTTCATGTGTACTTTCGGTTTTTATGACAATATAAATTAAAATATAAGTTCGTAATGGCACAGAATGTCCATTGCCTTATTTTATGAATATGTCACACAGATCTAGACTACAGGGAGCATGACTGTTAAAGCAATTCAATTGCTAGGGGGAACTTAGAGGTTATTGCAATCAGCTATTTACAGAGATATGGTGATTTCCTTTCAGATTTCTCTTCTTGAGTTGTTTCTACTTCTTACAGTTTGCTTTTTGAGAGGAGTTTTCAGGGAAGGCCTGGAGAAAGCCCACAAGCTCTCTGCCACCCTTCTAGGTGAAGAGAAAGACAAGGAGAAGCCATGGATTGAAGATTATCATTTAGCAATGATGATGGAACAGCTTTCTCAGCTTGGAACTGTGGAAAGGCTTTAGAATATGTTTCTGTCAGATGTGGCTTGAAATGGAGATTGGCGTTGTGTGGCTCAGGACTGTCAGTTCCAGTTGCCTCCATTTGCTATCACTCAACATGGTAATAGTTGATCTTTTTACACCCTGGGATTAGAATGGTGTCCTAGGTTAGCGCTTCTTTCACGGGCTAACAGCAAGTGTGAGTGAGATTTACTTGTTTCGATATTTAAAGGGTCTACTTTTCATCGTCTGTGGCTAACTTTGAAGAGTACTGAGACACAAAACCTTGGGATTTTGTTGGAAATGTACTAGATATTTGAGATTATGGATGCCTACATGTAGCAAGCACAGCAAACCCTCAGCAAGTATCTCAACTGAGAACTGCAGGATGTAATTGGCCTACCCATCTGTATGGGAGGGCCCTCCAGTTGTCATTTCTACCTGATTTGGCAGAGAAATTGAAAAATTTACCCTAAGAGATTGTTTAATTAAGAGTAACAGATAAAATTCCCTCCAGGATTCATAGATGGATCAGGTTTGTCATACTGAAGATTTAATCACTCACCAGCTTAATAACGTTGGGCATGAATGGCTGGCAGGGTTTCAGTGGGGAACTGAAGTCAAGGAGGCAGCATTCCCAGCCGGCTGAAGAACTGAAGAAACAGAGGCTGGCCTTTTACATTGCTTTCCTTGCTCATACAGTAGCATTCTCTTTTGAAAAGCAGCTCTTACGCCGAAAGTCAGATAAACATGTTTGTAGAAAGAGGCAGAGGTGGCACGAGAATCTACAGACGAAACAGGTGGACAGACACAGAGGAGGCAAAGGGGGAATAATCCACAAAGACTGACAGAGAGATGGAGAGACAACCGAAAATACATGCAGGCTGAGACAGAGACACACACAGACACTCAGACACACAGGCACACACATGGGAAAGGAAGAGGAAGAGAGGGAGGAGGGAAGAGATAGAAATAGATAGGTAGAAAGAGAGACACACAGAGAGATACACACATACACACACAGAGAGAGTGAGAAAGAGACAGACAGAGACTGAGAGAGCGAGAAGAATGAGAATCAGACATTTGATTTTGTCCATGGGTAGTTTGTGAATTGAGAGCTCAGGAAGTTAGGACTCTATCATACAACTTTCTGGTAATATAGACCAAATGAGCAAAAGTGATGGCATATATGCACACAGTTTTTGAGGCTGAGGATTTTATAATCAAACTCTGAAGTCCTCAGCTGCAGTTTCTAGGGGAAACGGTTCCCTTCTATGTCCTGAATGGCCATGTAGCCTCTCTGCTGCTGTTTTACTCTGTTTCTCCCCCTTCCCTTATGTAGTTGAGTGTTTTAAGCCAGCATTGCAAACTGTTACTGGTGACTATGTCTACAAAGTAAAACAATGTGAGCCGTTGTGTAGGATATATACACATACATCTTATAACCAACTCTCAAATATAGGGGCAACAAGGAATACTCCCCTTTAGTTTTAAGATTAAAGCCTTGATAGAACAAATAAAAGGAAAATGATAATTCGTAACTTGTAAACACCGAGAGCAAGTTATTTTTCTAAGAGTTTGTAAAGGTCAAAAGTATAAAGACAACAGGAGCATTCAGATAAGCATTAAAAATAGATTTTTGGTTTTGATTGACATATTTATAGCCTGTAGTGTAGCATTTCAATAATCGAGCACAATGTATAATGATCACATCAAGGAAAATGGTGCACCTACCTCTTTGAACATTTATCATCATTTTACCTTAGAAATAATCCTACTGGCTATTTGAAATATCAGATTGTCTACCATAGTGAAGTTTAAGTGTGTATTTCGCTATTTGGATCAAAATAAGTTATCAAGAAGGGAGGACATGAGAATTGTGTGAAAGCTCATTACATCTGAACAGCACCGCCGCGGAAGGCTCCTTTCCTGAGTAGACATGGACCAAATCTGTATTTGGCGACATCAGCACCTCCTTCTGCTTTACATGGTCAATATTCATGCAAGTTATTTGCTAGTGTAAACTAGGCTGTAGAGAGATGTAAGCTTCATGTAGAGTTAAATACCCCAGAGACTTTAGGTAGAATACTAGACAAAAACATTGTATCTAAGCCCTCAATGTGCCCATCCCTGTAGGCAGTATATTTCACCCACATGCTCTCTCTCTCTCTGAATCCCTAATGAACTGCCAGCAAAATGACTATTTGTTAACAGCAACTTAGGTTGCCATTTCTGAAAAATTACAAATTCAAATCAATGCTTTTTGATGCAAAATTATCCATTAATATTAAAGTATGGTTCAAAATTAAAGATTTTTCACTTTTATGAAAACTTAGAAGTGTTGTTTTTCTCTTTGGAGGAACAGGACCCAGGAAAGAGCTAAGCAGAGAGAGAGTGTTATGTGAGCAGCTCATCTCTTAAGAGGCCCTCAGTAGCTTCAATTTTCTATTTTTATAGAGACAGTGGGCTGGACAGGCACTTCCTTTACTCTGTCACCTCTCCCTTGTTAAAAAAAAAACCTCCAAACTCATTTTCACACTATAATTGGTATTTAGAAACATGGTTGTATTATAAGAAACCCTCAGGTGAGGAAATAGTTATCTGGTATCAAAACAAAAAGGAAAAACAGCTTAATTATGACCCAACCTGGAAGGAACAACATAAGGCAGACAGTTTCTACTGGCCACATCAGAAAGTTGTTTTGGTATTCTTTTCCTGAATGGCTTTCAGTAACATCCAAGACACTGTTCAGGAAATATTGATAAAACCACACATTGGTTTCGCAGCATCGGTTTACACAAGTCTTATAATGCACCACTTTAGTGCTGTGAGTATCAAAGAGGTTGAGATTATACTCACCGCTTCCTAAATTATATTGACGAATAACCAAAAGCGTCATCTCACTTCTGAGCCTGCACCGCATTACATAACGAATGCTGTACACTGCTGGCTAAGGCTGCTCCCCTCTGCACACATTGCCTTCACTAGTGTCTACCTTTTGCTGGATTCCAGAAGTAGAATGTATAAGAAATCCATTTACTTTAACCTCTTTCGGACAATGTCCTAAAAAAAATCCATTATATTTTTAATGGAAGGCAGTAGTAATGGCTATTGTAACTGGTAATGACTGAGTGGATTTGCATGCAGAAGCTCTAGTCAACATT